CTCACCCAGGGCTTCTGGCGTACCCAGGCCTGGGGGCAGCCACCCCTCCAGGCACCTGCTGGCGCTGAGCTCTGGGTCTGGTTCCAGCCCACTGTCACCAAGTAGGTACCCCGGCTGCGGGTCTGTCCCTCCAGGTCCCCTCCACAGCCACTGCTCCCAGGAGCTGTCACCCTTCTCACATGAAGCAGCCATGGTGTGTGCGGGGGCCTCCTGGGTTGGAAAATGTCCACTGGAATAAAGAGCCTGCAACCTCAGCAGCAGCTCTAACGAAAAGCAGAATGTAGCCCCGCTCAGTGTGCGTGGCAGGTCATGGTGCTGAGGGCAAACCCTTGTTTACTAAAGGAACAAGTAATTCCCTTATGGGCTCTGTGATGACAAACCCCTCACTGCACTAATATGATGGGCTTATATCTTGATCTCTCATCTGTGACTCACTTCCTTTGACTCCCATCCAATACCTGTCACCATCTCCATTAGCACACAGCCCCTGTTCAAGCCGCAGCAGCTCTGCGTGGGCTCACAGAGCTCTCTCTCTTCCCTACAAGTGGCCCATTCCAGATCTGCTGGTTGGGTCAGCCTTCAGAGCTGCACCAAGGTGTTGCTTTAGGTCTCACAGCCCCTTCCCCATGCACTGCATGTCACCTCCCACATGCTCCCTGCTCCCCCAGCCTCTCTCCTCACATACCAGCTGCACCCACCACCAGGTTCCTGGCTGTGTGAAGCCCTGCCAGCCCAGGGGCTGCCTCTGCAGTGAATGTCCCCCAGATCTCATGTGTTAGAATAAAATACCAAGAGAGCTAGAGAGTGCATGACTAGCAGCCTCTGCCTGCACGCTCCTTGCAGCTTCTGAAAGCCAGCATGGTCATCCCGGTGTATTTATTGAATGTTATTGATTTAACACTTGTTGTTCCGAGGATTCGAGCTGCTGAGTAATCTCTGGTATCTGTTCTCACACAGCGTTGACAAAGCCTGGAAAGAACTGAGTAACGTCCTCTCAGGAATATTCTGTGCTTCTCTCAACTTCATTGACTCGACCAACACAGTCACCCCAACGGCATCCTTCAAACCCCTGGGCTTAGCCAATGGTGAGACCAGCCTGTGCTTGGCTGCCCAGCTCTGCCCTCTCACTCTTGCCTCTAGCTTTATTTCTGCCCCATGCCACTGCAGGGAGTCTGGGCACAGGTCCTGCAACGACTCTGGGTCTGGGTGTGTACAACAGGGTCTGTTAACCTCCTCTGGAAGCATTTCCTCTCCCTACGAATGAGGCTTGGATTTGAACAGAGGAAGCCCACAAGCAGTATGTGGCAGATACTCCCAGGCCCTCGTCCGTCTCTCTGAAAAGTATTTTACAAAACTGTGAGGACTAGAGGATTTAAGGCACTCATGAAAAAAATCTGCTAGAATATACCCTTACCTATTCTTTCCAAATCACTCTGAACAGAGTAGGATCTATTCCTTGATTGAGCTTGTGGCATTTTGAGCATATTGAGAGGGTGGTGGGCTGTGGGGTACACTGCGGGGTGGAACAGGTCTGCTTCTGCTCTCATGCCTGTAGCAGTACCGACCTGTTGACCCTCCACCTCCCTGCCCAGGGACAGATCACCATCTCCTGCGATATGCTGTCCTGCCCCGGGAGGTTGTCTGCACAGAGAACCTCACGCCTTGGAAGAAGCTGCTCCCATGCGGCTCCAAGGTAATGGCAAGTCCTGCTGCCTTGTTGGGCCCCTCCCAATGGAGCTGGGTTCCCGACAGCAATCCAGGAGCATGCACTGGGAAATCTCATCAGGGCCTTTCTCTCAGTGGGAGCAGAGAACAGACCTGGGGCTGAGTTTCTCCTTTTCTCCCTGCAGGCTGGGCTTGCTGTGCTGCTCAAGGCCGAGCGCTTGTTCCATAGCAGCTACCACTCACAGGCAGTGCACATCCGCCCTGTCTGCAGGGTAAGCATGAGGCTCAGGGCTCCCTCCTTTAACACCCCCAAGACAAAATCAGAAGCCTTCTTGTGACATTGCAAGGTGACAGACTAGCCCCTGTGGTGGGTTCACTGTGTCTAACAAAGCTGCCATCCTGCTTCTCTGGTCTCACCTGCATCCCAATGGGATTCTTGCAGTCCTGGTGGAGTTCCAGCTCTGTCCTGGTGTAGTGCCACTCCAGAAAGTGTGATCAGAGCCACCTGTCTCTCTCTTGTCCAGGATGCCTCCTGCCTGGCTGTGTCCTGGGAGCTCAGGCAGACCCTCACTGTGGTCTTTGACACCTTTTCCAGCGGCCAAGGAAAAAAAGGTAAGCTCAGTGGCCATGCACTGTGGTCCTTGAGTGCCCCCAGCCTGTAGCACTTCACTCTGCCTGCCACTGACTTTGCTTCCCACAGACTGGTCCCTCTTTAAGATGTTCTCTCGCACACTTACTGACACGTGTCCTTTGGCATCGCAGAGCAAAGTCTACGTTGATATCTCCCCTAAGAACAAGGTAATGCTCACGGACCAGAAAGCACCCCCTGCTCCCTCAGTTCATCCACTTCGTGTGGCTCTGAAACATCCTCGCTTCCATCCCCTGCATGGCCAGGGCCCCCAAGAGCCCTCTGAGGCTAACAAAGGGAGGTGGTTTCCTTCCTCTGAGCAGGGCCACAGAGATGAGCGTGGTGGTGCTAGTAAGAGGCCCAAGCTGGTCACTGGGTGGAAAGCTTAGGGCCAGCCAGAGGGGCTTTGCCCAGCACCGCCAGTTACTTCAAGGGGCACTTTTTCCTTTCACGGTCCCTTCCCTTTTTCAGGAAAAGGAGTTACTGGAAGTGACTCCCACTCCAGCATCTGTACACGAAGCTATTGTCCAGGGAGACAAGAGAACCTATGCTGTCTACGACCTGCTGAGCCCCTCACTCTTCAATACCTCTCGCAGCCTCAATGTACAGCTGAAGTGGAAGCGGCCCCAAGACAGCTGTGAGTGACCAGAACCATTTCCTTCCACCTGCACCACTGGTCAGGGCTCCATGCCTAAAAATCACCTGGCATTGCCCCCCATTCCTGTGTCCTTTTCTCTTTTGCAGCGGAACTGCCGACACCCGTGCTCCATGCTCAGCGCTACGTGAGTGGATACGGGCTACAGACCGGAGAGATCAGCACTCTCATCTACAACACTCACCCATATCGGGCCTTCCCCGTGATCCTGCTGGAGACTGTGCCGTGGTATCTGCGACTTTATGTGCACACGCTGACTATCATCACGAAGGGGAAAGAAAACAAGCCAAGTAAGTAAAGCCAGGAGCACATGCCACCTGGTTCCCTTGGCACAAGCAGCTCATTCCAGAGATGGTTTAGTCCCTCCCTTGGGCCCCAGTGATCACTGGGAAACTGGACTGGGAAACAAAACAGGCTAGGATGTTTTCCTAGCCTTCAGTTCAGCACTCACAGCAGATGAGACTTTATTAAGTCTGTTTTATAAGAGGCACATGGACAGTGTTTCATAATCCAATAAGGGTCTCAACTGAAGTTAATTGATTTTTGTGGTAAAGGAAGCTCGATTTAAAACTGATGACTGGGTCTTATTTTGCATTTGTACCTTTTCTTATGAACAGCTGACTTTCATGGGTCATCAGCTCTAAAGACCAGCCAGATTTAGCTTTAACACATGCTTTTTGCTTACCTGTGCATCTTCACTTGCCCAGAAAACCTCTCCCAGGACAGTGGAAGCAGGACCACCCACCCCATGAGAGATGTCCAGGCAATGTGAGATTGGACAAGGTCCCCCCCGGTGCCACTGACACGTCTCTTTGATGTTAGGTTATATCCACTACCAGCCAGCCCAGGACCGGAGACGGCCTCACCTCTTGGAAATGCTGATCCAGCTGCCAGCCAACTCTGTCACCAAGATCACAATCCAGTTTGAGAGGGCCTTATTGAAGTGGACAGAGTACCCGCCTGACCCCAATCATGGCTTTTATGTCAGGTAATGACATACCTCAGCTCCTCATCCCCTTCTGGGCCCTTGTAGGACTTGCTGTCCAGGTCTCTGGGGACAGGAAAAACTCTTGCCATCTCTTTGCTGGCAGGACCAACACTAGCATGTCCTTTGTCTCCTTAGTTCATCTGTGCTTAGTGCCCTGGTGCCCAGCATCTCTGCAATGAAGAACATGGATGTGGAGCAGAGCCCTCTCTTTACCTCGCTGTGAGTGTGCCTGTGCTGGGGAGTGGGGCCGTACCACAGTGCCTGCAGGCTGCCGGCTGTTGTCATCCCATCTGGTAAGTACGAAACAGCAGCTGACACTCCCTTTCTTGCCTCTACTCTCCAGGTTTCCTTCCTCTGATGGCTCCAGCTATTTTGTACGCCTGTACACGGAGCCGCTGCTGGTGAACTTGCCGACACCAGACTTCAGCATGCCCTATAATGTCATCTGCCTGACTTGCACCGTGGTGGCAGTGTGCTACGGTTCCTTCTACAACCTGCTGACCAGAACATTTCACGTGGAAGAGCCAAGCCGGGGCGGGCTAGCCAAGAGGCTGGCTAACGTCATCCGCAAATTCAGGGGGGTGCCCCCCCTCTGAGAGAAACCAGGGCAGCCAGTGCTGGCTGCAGGGCTCCGTGGGGGGACCCAGGGAGCAGAGTGCTGCTGCCTCTTGTCTTTGCTGGAAGCAGCCTGCTCCATTTTGCTGCCTTGGTCTCTCTTTGAGGTCCAACAAGCTGTGAGATTGCTTCCATCATTAGGATGTGAAATGGCTGTAAGCCCATTGACTACTGAACTGCACTGCTATGGGATTGGGAAAGGTGTAAGACTTCTGTTTGGGAGAGGGGTAACTTATGTGCTGGGAACGATGCTGGAAGTAAACTTGAGCTGTTTTGTACATTTGTGCTGCTCCTGGTTGGTTTCACTTTCTCAACCCCACAGGCAGAATTGACCCTGTAAGACTCTGTGAGCTGCTAAGTCTTTAGCATGCTACCTGAGTCAGCCGGAAGGAGATGCAGACATGGTAAGGAGAAGGGGTGTGATCTGCAGTGAAGAGATGGGTTCATCTGCTTTACCATCTCACCTTCCACAACTGCCACATTTCACAGCTCCCTCCTGCCACACTTCACCACATTTGAGCCAGTTTGCAAATTAACTGTTGGCCATGGTGTATGTCTGTCTGTCCCCTCAGCCAGGGCAAGGGTTTATTTTCTTTCTCAGAAAAAAGGTTTTCTTGCTCCCAGCTTCTATTTGCAGCATTTTGAAACCCCTCTACCTGCTCACCCCTCTGCTGCAGCTCAAGATCCTCCTCTGCCTCCTCAGTATCATTTCTGCACGTCTGCCTGACGGCTCCCCTGCATCCATGGCGTCCCCAAAGCTTCGGGGAGCCTCTGGGGTCAGCAGACCCCAAGTGCTGAGCTGCACCCAGCTGGGCTCTGCTGGTGGGTGGCAGCCTCAGCCCTCCCAGAGCCCTGGGCTGGGAACAAAGGAACACCAGCACCACTGCGTTCTTCAGTTATTTTCATAAAATACAAGGTGCCACCTTGCTGCGGTTCACACAGATCAGTGAAAGGACACTGGTGGTGCTGCTCGGCCTCCAATGGTGCTATTTTCAGGGGTATATCCTTTGCATCTCAGATGTGGCTTTTGTGATGGGAACAGACAACTGCCTACAAGCAGCTAAACAAAGCACAAGGAAATCATTAGAAGAAATATTCCCCAGAATCAAAGCAAAGCACAGCCAGAAGTTTTTTAAAAGCTTCTGCTTGAACAGAAAGACCATAAAAATCCCATTGCCTCCTGTCCTGCACAGCACAGTATGTTCCCGCTGGCCTGGGATTACCTTTCCCTTCCCTACTGGAGCTGCCCTTTGCAGCTCCTTATGGATCCACTCCACTGGATGGCTCCATGCAGCCTGCAGAGCTTCTGAAATACATGAGTTTGGGATGATCCCTCTCTGTCCCTGCTTGCTGAGAAGGATGCTGTGGGGCTGGGAGCTCATGCTGCTTCCAGCCACAGGACTGCTGCTGCAGCTCTGCCAGCCAGGCTTCAAGTACAAAACTGAGTTTCTTTACAGAAAACTAGAACTACAACCAAATAAAACCTGAGCAAGCGCACAGCTCCCACAGCAGCGCAGGGGTTGGGGGGACATGGTAAGGAGTCTTGGGCATGAGGGTCCACATTGCAATTTGCGAAAGGTTTTGGAGACTTCAAGTTGTTTCAGGTTGGGTCCAGGATAAATCCTGCAAACTGCAACCATCAGCATGTGCCAGAGCAGCTCAGAGTGCCCAAGGTCCCCCCAGCTCAGCTCCCTGGGCAAAGCCTGCATGCTGCAGGTATTAGGTGGGATCCCATACAGCCCCATGAGCGCCGAGACCAGCACCCATGGGTGCAGCTGGCACCACAAGCCAAACCAGCCAAAAAAAGTGCAAGAAACATGGCACTTCTGCAAACACGGCCATCGCTTCTGCAGGAAAAAACGTCCCTCGGCTGAGGATCATGAAGTCAGCCTGGGCCAGGGCCAGCCAGGAGCCGCCACAGGCAAAGGGTGCCGGAGCTGGCATCAGCCAAAGGCTTCAGGGCCATTCCCATGCGGTGGCATAAACCAGGAATTTAAACAGCCCATAAAGAGGTTAGCCTGGAACATTGGCAGTGCAGGAGGGACACCATCCCAGGCTGGATTACAGAATCATAGAATCATTTAGGTTGGAAAAGACCTTTAAGATCATCCAGTCCAACCATTAACCTAACACTACCAAGTCCACCACTAAACCAATTGAGGGTAGAGTAGTAATTTTAGGGTAGAGTAGTAATAATCCAGTAGTAGCTGGATTATTTTTTAATGAAAGCAAAAACTAGGAATCATTAAGGTTGGAAAGGATCTCTAAGATCATCAGTCCAACCATCAACCCAACACCACCGTGCCCACTAAACCATGTCCCAAAGTGCCACTTATACCCACTTTTTAAACACTTCCAGGGATGGTGACTCCACCACCTCTCTGGGCAGCCTGTTCCAATGCTTGACTACTCTTTCAGTAAAGAAATTTTTCGTAATATCCAATATAAATCTCCCCAGCTTGAGGCCATTTCCTCTTGTCCTATCGCTAACTACTTGGGAGACCGAGACCCACCTCACTACACCTTCCTTTCAGGTAGTTGTAGAGAGCGATAAAGTCTCCCCTCAGCCTCCTCTTCTCTAGGCTAAACAATCCCAGTTCCCTCAGCTGCTCCTCATAAGGCCTGTGCTCCAGACCCTTCACCAGCTTCGTTGCCCTTCTCTGAACATGCTCCAGCACCTCAAAATCTTTCTTGGACTGAGGGGCCCAAAACTGGACACAGTATTCCAGGTGCAGCCTCACCAGTGCTGAGTACAGGGGGACGATCACTG